TTAGCTCTGTGACAAGGCAGCACCTGAGTCTGCCTACCACTGTTGTCACTGATGCAGGCAAAGGCTGATGGCTTGGTTTTGCTCTCTGACAAGACCCTTTGAGGTACCAGCAACGTCTGAGAATCCACATTGACCTATAGCCACCAAATACGGAAAAGGCTCTAGGTACAAAGTGGGGCATCTGACTTCTATAATAGTAAACACTTCGAGAGATCTCAGTGTTCAACAACAGAACAAGTATTAAATTATCTTCTCCAGTTGATGAATAGCTCGGCCTTTAACAATATGTGTGAAGCTTGTTTATAATGTGGGGTCTGTTTATGTTTTTGTCAGACATGAAAAAGGACACTGGAGCACAGCAAAGGCACAGTCATTTATATAAACAAAATTAAAACCGGAGAATCTCAAAATGACTTGGAAATGCACAAAACTGAGACAGAGGTTGTTTGGGGATAGGGAAGGGCCTGTGTTTTGTGCCTGACTTGCCTGACTTTCTCTTATTTTCTTCCATGAGAAGAGATAATTTGCATGAAGCAATCCTGTGGAAGAGTCAGGGTTCTTCTGGGGTGAAGGGCTGTGTGAATCTGAACCCACTCCCTCTCAGCTGCACTGGACCAGGTGAGACCTACTGCTGAGACCCAGCCAAGCCCTATGCAGTTCCTCCCTATGAAGGGAGTACAGGTGGTATGTGAGGTCACTGGGGCTCATGACCAACAACAGGAAGACCTCACTCCTTATCCAGCAGTTAGGATACACACTTAAGAACTGTCACTTTAAAATAACAGGCTGTTGGGGCTGGAGAGAGGGCTCAGTGGTTAAAAGCACTAACTGCTCTTGCTGAGGACTTGGGTTTGGTTCCCAGCACCCACATGGCAGCTAACAACTGTCCATAATTCTGGTTCCAGGGAATCCCATGCCCTCTTCTGACCGCCTCAGGCATTGCACGACATGGGTGCACTTACACACATGCAGGCGATACATTCATATTCATAAAATAAAAACAAAATATAAAAATAATAGACTGCTTCTTTCTAAGTCACCAGGGGAACTTGCTCTAAGTCAGAGAAGGGACCCTACTGCTCACACCAAAGCTGTGGATACTGGGAAGATGCCCTGTCAGAGGCAGAGCGCTGGAACTGAACAGCAGCCTGAGTGGTCTGACCTGACTTTGCACAGACGACATGGGCTCTTGGGGAGCTGTGGCCTTGGTATGTCCTCTAGGGGACAGCTAGGAGTCTAAGTCATGGGGATCTTGGTTAGAGGTCTAAGCTAGCTTGCTAAAGACACAGGATCCCCTGTACAAGTGACAGACACAGTGGGAAGTGAGTGGCTTTAAACTGGTACCAAGCCCTTGTACCATCACATGTCACTGGGAAACAAGCACAGGGCTTGGTGAGGGAGACAGGCAACACTGTCTTTCTCTCTTGCATCACCATGTGGCCTGGCTCACTGTGTTCTAAACCTACATGAGTTTTCCCAGATGGCAAATGCTGGTAAACTCTTATTGCTTACCCTTTGAAGACCAACTGAGCATCATGATGCCATCGACCTCACAGTGACTCCTCCAAGGCCTCTCAGTGGAGGAACGTTTGGGTCTCAGCATTACTTTTGAAATCCGTCCCATGCTTTGAGGTGTCAGTACATCTGCGTACACGTTGGTGTGCATGTAACATGTGCCCACAATAGCCAACCTAAACTTTAACTTCCAAGAAGAACAGGAGCAGCCCCAAGAGAGCCCAGAGCACATGCAGTAGAGGGACTTGGTCCCCTGCCAGGGACCTTCCCAGCTCATGACAGGCACCAGGCAGATGAAGGCTCTTTCCTGGGAAAGCACTCCCCTCTTACCTAGGAGTGTTCCTCTTGGAACCGGTCTTATTTCACTTTGACTGGCCAACTCAAGGAATCCAGCTCATAACAATATCACACCATCAAACACCCGGTTTATGAAATCTGCCATTCACCCTGCACACCTCACACAGGGACAGTGGTTACCATCCACTATTCAAGCAGTTGAGCTTCCCCACAACTCTGTGGAGCAGGGTTATGTGGTCCTATCTACTGGTGAATGGACTTTGGAGACACAGGCCCCACCCCAGCATCATGCTATGATAGTCACCTAATGAGACTCTTCTGGTCTCCAGTGGACTGTTTATAGGCCCACAGTTCTAATAAGGGCATGCTGACCTTCCTGCAGTAATGAAAAGTGACATCCCATCTGCCAGACTTCTCCCTTAGCCCTGTAGAGGGCCCAACACCTCCCCTCTCAACCTTTCTAGGGATGAATGATGAAAGATGGCAGTTCTTGGGCCAACTCTGAATTAGGGGTTGTGTGGCAGCACGGTCCTCTTATCAATGGCATGTGGCTCCTCTTAGTAGGCCCTCACCTTCTGATCCCTGCTAAGGACAATGAGTGCCTGGAGGGTCCCCCTATGGCATCCCTGAGACATGGCTGGTCTTATGTGGATGCCAGAGGGGCCACTTGGCAGTCAGGCCCTGGGTGTGTGCTGGGTGAGCCACACACATCAGTGGAGAAGCCTCGCATGCTGGTCACACTGAGGCTTGGCTATGTGACTTAGAGCTAAGCTATCTTCCAAAAATACTGGAAATCTCTGTACAGAAGTCTCCCACTTCTGGGAGTGGGAGCAGCTCCAATGACTGCTTAGTGGCCAGAAGGGGTTTATGCTATCCCAGACACACTGGCAAGTGTCTGTGCTTTGTCTCTAGTCCACTGTAAGACAGCTGTGGGCAAGTCCATGCCATCTCAAAGCTCAGTGTCATGTTCTGTCCAGGTAAAAAGACCCAGCGTGTGGGACTTCCCACCTCCACCTCCCGCCTCTGAATCACCGAGTTCAGAAGTAATCACACAACTACACAAGAGACCCCATTCTCAAAGGCAGGAAGGATTAGGCCAAGGGCTACAGTGAGCTGTCATTTCACCACATGCTGAGTTGAGCATCCAGGCCCGCCACAAACTATGTTTCCTACAGGGAACAGAAGCAGTGCAGAGGAGAGAACTTGGGGAGGAAACAGCAGAGCTTAATGAGGGCAGCGCCTGTCCAGACAGCATCTTGTGGTCTCCATGGCAAATGGTGACCACAGGCATTCTGACCTCTACTCCATCGCTAATGAAACACAGGTTCAGAATAGTTAAGTTACTCTCTCCAAACGTCATACCTGGCACATGACAGAGTTTTGAACCCCTGGCCTCCTTATCTGGAAATGCCATGGATAGGACTCTGAACTCCTCCATGAAAACCAGGAAGGAAATTCAGGGAGAAATGGGAATAGTGGCACAACATGGTACCGCCTGCTCTGATGTGGCCTCCAGCCATGTTGGAGGCCCTCTGGCCCGTGTGGCTGCCCAGCTTCCCTCCCTAGGCCTGATTCTGATTCACACCAGCTCTCCCCATTCTCCAGGCTGCACACTGGAAGAATGCACACCCAAGGGAGGGGCGAGGCAAGCAGGGAGAGGCTGTTATCAGTGTTAATTGCTAAGCCTTGACCTGGCCTGAAATCCCACCAGCTCAGCTGGTGTTCAGGTGCTGGAGCCTTGGCTTTTGCACGGGGTTGGTGACAGCAGGTGGCTTCCCACTTGGCTTCCTGCTAAGAAGTGGTAGTGATAAGCTTTTCTAGCTACAGAAAGGGGCAAATGGGGCCTCTCCTGCAAAGGACAGGAGCAGCTGGGCCACCCAAGCTCCCTCCCTCTTCATGGGCCTGTTCTGCCTGGCCAGAGTCCTCTGACTGCTCAGTGCCCCCCTCATACCATGTAGAGCAGAGCTCTGCATGCTTTCGGGGGTCTATACCATGTAGTGTCTCACAAGGCTCCCTGGTCTCTGCTCCAGGTGCTTCTATCACTGTGCTGTTGACTGGCCATCCATTCACCTACCCCAGGAACACAGCACCTCTCTGCCCTGCAGAATCTCCTCTGGCTAGAGACCATATTGGCCTAGTTCTCTGGAGCCACCCCCACCCGACAGGAGGGCCCAGATGTGGGAGAGAAGTAGCTATTCCCAGGCATATTTTACCCTGGACAAGTGCCTGGGTGACTGGGTGCCTGCAAAGGGCAGCCCTTGAGCTGCTGGGTAAGGATTAAACCGACTTTGCATTTCGGTGGGGTAAGGGGAAAGAAGTCCAGGGAAGAAGCCCCATGTGAAACACATACCCAGGTTCAAACCCTGCATGGCCCAAGGATTTAGAGGGATGGGACATAAGGTGAAAGGCCACACAGGTGATGCCCACATGCCTGGCATATAGATGGCTAGAACTCATCATCCAGCACGTACTGGTGGACAGAAGAGAACACTGGGCAGTCTCTTGGGTGTAGACAAGGAAAAGGAAGATGGCAAGTGATTATTTACAGCTGATCCCAACATAGACAATCTGATGAAATAACTTCCAGACAGCAGGAAAGTCCCTCACAACAATAAAAACACACACGAGTATCTGTTGCAAACTACCCTTGAGTGCTACTTAGGAAGGCATGGGCTTGGGTCAGAGCCCAGAGCTGCGCAAGCACACGCAGCCAGATTGATGCGGCTCTGCTGAGTGACAGTGACCCCTGTGGGCTGCACCCAGCTGAGGTTAGGAGTTCACCAAACACACTGTCCACACACAGTGTGGGAAGCTGTGAAGCCCAGTCCAGGCACATGGCATCGGAACAGGGAGGAAGACACACCCTCCTTCCCTCCCGCCACCCCATGTAGCTAAACGCTACAAGCATTTTGAGACTCAATTGCCATTCTAGAGGAGGGCCGACTACAAATGAGGAGTCAAGACAAATTCTGTGTGCTGCAATTGTGTTATGATGGCACCAAACCCAGTCAAGCGTAGCAGAGCCTGCCCGAGTGCTCAGCTGCCCACTCACAGAGGCACATCAGAATGAGATGAAGTCCTTTCCCCGTGGTTTTCAGAGGCACTCCTTAGGGTACCCTCCTGCCACTCCCACCCAGACACTGCAGATACCCCCCCATCCAGACACCGCAGGTGGCCATGGTACTCACCCCACTGCAGAGGAGCCAGCTGCAAGTGTTCCAGGACCAGCTGGTTCAGGAGCCCCTCCACGCTCGCCTCGCCGCTGCGCTTCAGAGAGGGGTAAGCCTTAGTCAAGGAAAAGTTGGCTCCCACTGAGCCCCAGGACTAGCAGAGCTCTAGAAAATTCTAGACCCCAGATGAGAAGACTCTTAAGTCGATAGGTCTGCCCTCTGCTCGAGTGCTGGTCAATCCAGCTACAAAGGCATCACCCAGAGACCGTGAAAACCAGAGCACAGAACCATAACACATGCCTCTTCCCTCAGCCTTTACTGCATCCAGCTAGGGGACGGTGCCACAAGGGAGAGCTGCTGGGGTAATCATATCCTACCAGTGGTTCTTGGGGGCGGGGCGGAGGGGGGTAAAGCAGTGTGAGGTGGACCATGGCTGACTGTTCAGGACAGTGTATACTGCAGTCGTGCTGGTCTCTTGTCTTTTTACACAGCTCGATGTGATAACACGCATCATGGTGAGCAGGGACCCTCAAACGAGCTCAGAATTGAGGAAGTTGTAAAGTCTCTCAGCAAGTATCAGTGGATGAAGAAATCTAGGCCTGGAAGTGCAGATTACAGGCAGATCCTGGGAGCTGCAGAGAGGCCCCAGCGCAGGTCTCAGTCAGTCTGCACAGGCCTCTCTTCCCAAGAAATTAAAGCCACCAGATGCAAGTCTAAATCAAACAGGAAAACTCAGTGTGGAAGATTCTCTAGCGATTGGAAATGGGAGAAAAGCCACTTCCTTCTTCCTCTGACAAGTACATTTCATGCAACGAACACATCCCGTGTGTCCACCTGAGGCAGGCCACAGTGGCAGACAGGCTGGAGACAGAGGTGCCTAAAAACAGCCTGGGATCAAGCCCATCCGGTGACGATAGAAACTGATAAACTGACCCTCACAGGTACCGAGCCTGGGGACAGTGGCGTGGGAACACCTTGTAGGCAGATGATCAAAGGAGCAGAGGCCAGCAGGGGATGCAGGCTCATGCATCTCTGTGGCCAGCAGCCCCACTGGGCATCCATGGAAAGCTGCACAGACTAGGGCTGCCTAGAGAACTCGGCTGGACCACAGCAAGACTTTGCTCAGTAACGGCTGAGGCAGGCTACCCAGGCCCCCACAATGCCTTGCATGAGCTACCACATGCTCGGACTCCGCACACTGCACTTCCTGCCTTCCCCGCTTTCCTCTCCTCACTTGGTTCATTTTTGTCTCCTCTTTGACCTCACTTCCTCTAGGAAGCGTTTCCAAGGCATTCTCCTTGTCCCCTTGAAGCACGCTACACCTAGTGACTTCACCACCAGCCTAAGAATCCACAGGAGACCCAGAACATGGCCAGCTCCAGCAGCTGCGGCACCAACGCTGTCTGACAAAGAAGACAGATCAGTGAGGAAACGTCCCAGGAAAGCAGCACAGGGCCAACCCTTCATGGGGGGGGGGGCTACGGCCCTTTCATTGCAGCCTAGAGGCCCCGAGGCTCAGCAAACTTGGCTGATGCCTTCTGCAGATTTGCAAGACTCTTTTGCGTAAGTTCCACTCTGCCCCAAACTCCACTCCACCTCACATCAACCTGAATATTCAACTTACCTTCCTCCCTCCCTAACCCCATGTGAGAATTTGAGAGCTTGGGAGTTGTTCTTGAAATGCTGGGATCACCCGGGGGACATCATGGCTCAGAGAAACAGCACCCTCACTTGGTGGGCTCTGCTCTCCACGCTCTGGGTGAGGCTCACAGCTAAGATCAGCACAGCTTTGAACCTTAGAATTCTGCCACCACCTCACCTGGGCTTTGGATAACCAACTTGATACCCTGGGTCAGCTTCGTTATCTAAAGCTTGGGGACAAGAGCCCTGCAACCAAACAGGGTCCTGAGGAGCATGTGGACACATCAGTAAATGATCCTGTTGTCAGCAGGATCCTGCTTTCCTCTCCGTCTTGAGAACTTCCTGGCCTTCCTGTTTTGATGTCTCAGCCTCTGAGAGATCTCCCTCTTCCAGGGCCACCTACCAAAGATTTCGTGTATGTAGGTCTCTCCCAAGAGGAACCCTTCACATGCCCCCTCCCCATCTCATCACCACCCAGGGCAGGTCTGTCTGCTGAACTGTTGTTGTCGTTGGCATGTTCTCTGCAATACACTGTTAGTCCTCTTTCTTGCTTGGTCTTGCTTGGTGACAATCCCAGGAGTGAGGATTCATCTGTTAGTTCCACAAGGAGGGATACAGTGGCTTTTAGGGAGACTGAACCAAGACTACAACCTAATCCTGGGGAGGTCACTGGCACAAGAGAGATGGTTTTGCAATTTGAAAACACTGACCTCCAGCAACCCCAGCACTGGTGACATGTTATGAGAGTCAAAGTAGGAAGGCGGGAAAGATGTCCACCATGTTCTCAGTGGGGCTGCTTACAGCCAGAAGGTGGAATGGCCCGTGTCCACTCTCAGATGACTGAATAAACATCGCAGTCCATCCACACAACTCAGTATCACCCAGCCTTCAAGGAAGGCAAGCCTGATACATTGTGTGTGGTCCTTGAACACAGTTGAGGACAAGGGTGCTAGTCACAAACACACACACAAGGACTCCACTCAGACAGGGAACCTAGGGGAGGTCGCATCCACAGGCGGAAGCAGCATGCTGGCCGAGGGGGTGGGACTAGGGGCTGTGAGGTGGGGTTCTGGGTCTAGTTTCAGTTTGCAAAGGTGACACGCTCTGAAGATGCATGATGAGGCTGCACTACTGAGCCACACACTTCAGCACGGTTAAAACGGTCAATTGAAGATAGAGAACAACGTGCTGACAGAAGGAAGGAACTGGGCAATTAGGAAAAGGAGCTAGGGAAGATGAGGGGCCAGAGCCAGGTACAGAGACTGGAACTGGCCCAGCAGAAAGGACATCAGAGCCAAGGCTCTGGAAGGAACTGGAAGGAGCTGGGGGATGGAGGGAGCACGAGCAGGAGCCCGAGGTGCAGCAGGAGAGGGTACGTCCCAGGAGAGTGGAAACCGAGGCTCCCCTTCAAGGGGTCAGGGACCATGCGGGAGCTGTGCTGCTGGCCACGTGGTTCCAAGCACTGTGCACAAAACTCAGTGGCCCTGAGGGGCATGGTCTTTCCTGGGAGACGTCCACTGCTACGTCACTTTCCCAAGCAACCTTCACCCACCATCTTGGTTGAGGGAGCCATGTGTACAGCCTCCACCAGCCACCATGTACAGGAACTCCAGGTCATACAATGTGCCACAGTGAATGGGTCATCATCGTGACTGCCCACACTCTGCAGCCATTGTGTGACAGAGACTTTCTTGTGAAAAAGATACCAAATATCACCTTCAAATCGGGCATGGTGGTACACCAATCTGCAATCTCAGCACCTACCCGGCTGAGGCAGGAGGATCATGAATTCTTCCAGACCTGCCTGGGCTACATAGTAAGACCTGTCCCAAAAAGCCAAAGCCAAACAACCAACGAACCAAGCAACCAACTAACCAAAAAACCCAACCAAACAAACCAAGCAAAGAACCACCCGCTTTCCTAAATCCTTGTCAGCAGACAGGAAGTGGCAGTGTACTCACAGGACTGTTGAAAAGGGTACAGTCACAGTTTTTGGTTTGGACCTACAGCTAGTGTCTTGTGACTCCCACAGAGCTTATTCTCTAAGTGGGGATCAATTCCTAGGGAAGGAAACAGACTCGAAGTCATGCACTGGGGCCCCTCGGTGAGGACAGATGGGGAAGTGCATTGAGGTGAGGGCTTTCCTGAAAAAGCAAGACACAAACCAGCATAGGCAATTCTATAAAGAACATTAGGACAGAAAACAAGACTGGGCTGTACTTATCAGTTCAGAAAGCAACTCTGATGTTTACACAGTGACAGGTTAAAGAGCCCCCTGTGTGGGAGGAAGGTGAGGAACAAGGTTGATGGATAAACCCTTAGAAAGCCCAATCAGTGCCCAGCATTAAGAACGAAAACTAGAGCCTGAGGGCCCTGGTGTGTGCACCTGACTCAGCTCCCTGGCTGCCCCATTCCAATCTGAAAGGAGGGGACCTGAGGGTACAAACCTCCCACATATTTGGGTTCAAAGTGCTCACTTTTGTGTTCTTGCTGTCCGTCATGATTCTCCCCAAGGCTTATTTGTACTAGTAGAAGATTAAGACTTCAGAAGGAAGCAATGGTAATCTCTTATTAAGAACTCATGCCAGGCTCTCGAGGTGATTGGCTGTCCACAGCACAGAGCAGAGCCTATACCACAGACAAGCAGAATGAGGAGCTTGGAGGGAACAGACGAGGAATGAGGGAGTCCATGGGGACCTGCAAAGTGGCCTTTGGGAGCCACCCCAGCTGCCCACTTATTCATTTGTGGTGAGCCACAAAGGGGTACGGCTGCACACACGGCCTCTCCCTTGTAGTCCTAGAGGCCACCCAAGCAGTCTGGTGCCTAAGCCTGTGCCCAAAAGTGGCCATGCTGGTCAGCCACAGTTCTCACTGTGATACAAGGTTGCCATGGCAATGGGGAAGCTGCTAATATTTAAATTTTTTTATTTATTTTTATTTTATGTGTATGCGTGTATTGCCTGCATGTAGGTAAGTGCACCTGTGTTGTGCAATGCCCGCAGAGGTCAGAAGAGGCCGTTGGATCCCCTGGGACTGGAGCTACGGATAGTTGTTAGCTGCCATGTAGGTGCTGGGATTCAAACCCAGATCTTCTGCAAGAACAACCAGTGTTCTTAACTGCTGAGCCATCTCTCCAGCCCCAAGCTACTAATTCTTAATAGGCACACGCTGGCATTTGGGGCAAGAGAGGAGATATAATGACAGAAATCACTATTGCTCCTGCAGAGAACATTCCCCAGGTGTCCCTGTGGGAAGCTCTGTGGTGAGCATCTACCATGTACCTTCTCAGTTGGATATTATTTTCAAATTCAAACTCTAGAATATGCTGACTGTGAGATAGGCAGTTATCTCCACTCTAACTCCCTCAAACATGTAGACAGTATACATAGATCACTTCACTATAACGTCTTCATACATGTAGACAATATGCATAGATCACTTCACTATAACGTCTTCATACATGTAGACAGTATACATAGATCACTTCACTATAACGTCTTCATACATGTAGACAGTATACATAGATCACTTCACTATGACGTCTTCATACATATGGACAGTATACATGGATCACTTCACTATAACGTCTTCATACATGTAGACAGTATACATAGATCACTTCACTATAACATCTTCATACATGTAGACAGTACACATAGATCACTTCACTATGACGTCTTCATACATGCAGACAGTATGCATAGATCACTTCACTATGACGTCATCATACATGTAGACAGTATGCATAGATCACTTCACTATGACATCTTCATACATGCAGACAGTATGAGATCATCATATTCACGTCTCTGGTCTTTTTTGTTTTATTTTGGGTTTTCTGTTGCATGGTCTTTCTCTTCAGTCTAGTCTCATCTGTGGCCCAGGCTGGTCTTAATCCATAGATCACTTCCCTATGACGTCTTCATACATGTAGACAGTATACATAGATCACTTCACTATAACGTCTTCATACATGCAGACAGTACACATAGATCACTTCACTATAACATCTTCATACATGTAGACAGTATGCATAGATCACTTCACTATGACATCTTCATACATGCAGACAGACACAGATCATCATATTCACGTCTCTGGTCTTTTTTGTTTTATTTTGGGTTTTCTGTTGCATGGTCTTTCTCTTCAGTCTAGTCTCATCTGTGGCCCAGGCTGGTCTTAATCTCATGGCAATCCTGCTTCAGGCTTCCAAGTAATCAGATTAAAGGTATGAGTTACCATGCTTCCCCATCTCACAGATTAATAACAACAACAAAACTCCAAAGCCTTAGGGTCAGTGAAGGGAACAGGAGAGCTGTGATGCTGGGAAGTGAGTGGTCCAGGCTTGAACCCAGTCAAGGTAGACCCTGCAGCCCTTGCTCTGAGCACCATTTCACATACTCCTAGATATATCATGTGAGCTCCTCACTTCCTGAAGCCAGGAATCAAGGTACTGCTGGACAGCAAGGACCCTTCTGCCTAGGGCTGGGTCACACCAGGGGATGCGCCTGCATACAGCAGCTTCTCCTCTACCCTTCCAGCCTAGAGGAAAGCCCAGTGGGGAGCTCTCCGTGGTTCTGAAGCACGCACCCTGCAATGTCTCAGGCAATCTCCATGCTCCCGGAGACTTCATTCTCTTCTCCACACAGTGTGGGGCGCAGAGTGGAGCCACTGCTGTGCTTTTCCATGCAACCTTCCAGATCAGGAGTGAGTCTCATGATGTAGGTGACCTACAATTCATCGCCAGCAACACACCACCATTAGGATAGTACCTTTCCCAGGCCTCCTTGGAAACTGGGACAGGGCACTAATCAGTCAGAGCAGTCTACTTACAAGACTCATCACATGCTCTACTTCTCAGAATCCCCCCATGTCGACCCATCCCTATTGGGACAAACAGCCCAACGCCCTGTCAGTACAACATACAAGTTCCTCATGGCTTGCTTGTCCCTTTTCCTGCCCAGTGCTCACATCCCACCCCCTTGTACGTATGTGTACACTCGGGGAGCTTTGCTTTCCTGTCTGCTTGGAGCACTCTTCCACGTCACCTTCACGGTGAGCACCCACCCATCTCCTACTGCCGTAGGCTCTGGGACAACTTCTTGGCTCCACTCCAGAAGCTAACACTTCCTTCTGTGGCTACCCCCACGTGATTATCCCCACCTTGCACAACACAGCATCCATCTTGTACCTGCCACACTGTGTTGGGTTTGAGCCTGTGTCCACTCACCTATGAGCTGATTCACACCTGTGTTTACTGCTACCAGACACCTGTGCTGGGGATGAAAAGAACAAGAGGATCCATCCACTTTTAAGGAGCCCGGTCTCTTGCACAGGGACTGTATTCTCATTACCATTAGTCACTGATCATTATTTATTATTGAATTAGCTGGTCAATGTTCATATGGGATTCTGCCCTCCTTTCTCCTTCCCTCCTACCCTCCTTTGTCTGCCTTGCCTGGTCTTGTTTGGCCTTGCGCTCTTTGAAGCAGGGTCTTACTGTGGACCCAGGTTTGCTTTGAACCTGAGGTGTTCCTCCCAAGTGCATTACCATGACTAGTTCAAAGCCTCTTCTTATTAACAACATTTTCAGACATACCATCTCAATTAGAGGAGCCATCAATGTCCATTGATGTTCACTTTCAAATCTTTGAGAAATACAGACAGTTGCAGAAAGAATGTAGAGGTAGAAGACCACCTTTCCTCTGCCACTGTCTACCCGTGTCAGTGCTGGACGCTGCAGGACTGTACCACAGGTATTTAGTGCCACTGAACAGCTCTGTAGATCTGTCTAGATTTATGTGACTGATGTTTACTATGGCCTTGTTTGATAGTCACTCAGTCTCCTATGCCCTTGGGGAACATGAAGCCCAGTGAGGATTTCTGAGGTTGTCTTCTCAACCTGTAGTGGGGAAGTTTGCTAGTTTCACTTTCCCAGGGGGGGAAAATGAGTGGCATGCTTGGAACACCTGGGTATTGTGCAGGGTCTGCCAAGCAGAAAGTCAGAAATCCATCACAAGAAGCTGATGCAGCGCTTTACAAACTGGCTTCGAGAGGAGGGAGGAGTGGGTGCTGCCCATCACTGACTTCTCCAAACACCACCACCAGGAAGATGGGCTGGGTGTCGTGTGCCAGCTCTGGGGTGAAGGATTACATGTAGAAGGGTGCAGCCCCGCCCTACTAGAGCTCAGGGAAATTAGCAAATTGTCATAAATAGAATTACACTGATGGGAAGGTGGCTATGCATGCTCAGCAATTCTCTTCCCCCGACTTGGTTTTCTAGTTGGCATCACCAGCCTTCAGACAGCTGGTGCCACTTTTCCTCCTCTCAGTAAGTGCCCTGCCATCTCCACAGAGCTCTCATGCCAGAGGCCCAAACAAACAGAAGCTGCCTGCAGTGGGTGTGCTGTCCAAGAAGAGGTCTGTACTGTTTCGCTGCAGCAAGACCTGCTTGGTTAGGAATGTTCTAGAACCCTTTGAAGAAAAGAAGGTAAAATGGTGGGAGGGGAGGCAGGTGCCCACCAGGACCAGTCCAAGGAATTCAGCCATCTCTACGTGTTTCCTCTAAGCATAGTGGGGCAGATACAGCAGGGGCTGGGGGCCTGGGCACAACCCCTAGACAGAGCTGAATGCACAGCAGAGAGCAGCATGGGTTCCATCTGGTCCTCGACTCACTGGGTGACCTGGAGTGAGTGAAATAACCTCACGGGCCTCCGTTTTCTTAGCGGTCCATGGGAGAAAAACATCAGAAAGCTATTGCAAAAATTGAGCGATCTATCCCTTTGAGGGCTTTGGGCTAGGATCGAGTGTAGTATTTGTTCTTACTAGTTTAATATCAGACGTGTCCTCTATCTGGGGACAATATAGTAAATGGATTTTGGAACGAGGAAATAGAATAGGAGCTTATACAGTTCACTCTGAGCACTGACCTGATGTTGCAGCACCTCCAACAATGGTAACCCTTTGGGGGACCTAAAACATGAAGCAGTCTATGAAAATGGATCAGGTCCGTATCTGGCATCTAGTGAGTGCTCTTTGGGTGGTAACTTATGCTGTATAATTTTATGGCTTTCTTAGAAAAGATATGCATTCTCACAATAACAGACATACCAGGAGAACACAGGCTGTGTGGATGCCAATGCATACCCAGTCACACAAACACAATACATGTCAATTCATGTATACACACGCACACAAAGAAACCTGCCATGCTGTGCATGAAATGCCCTTTTATACACTCTTAGCCAAACCTGAAATCTGTGCTCTCCATGTGTTGACCCTGATTCCTTTCCAAGTAATTCTAAGGTATGCACAGACATCATATTGGGATTGGTGGGGGTGAACAGCAGTCAGATCTGGGCCCATGTCACTTTGATCCGATGCCCATCAAAGGTCAAACAGCTGGGGTGATTTGACAACATCCCTGGCCAGGCACAGTGCTTCTCCCTGGCCGCAAAAACTCTGTGCTGTGCAGTGCAAGATAAAAGGGCTCTGAACCGAGTTATTACAAACAGCTCTAAGAGCCGAATTCCCCAAAGGCAGGCACCAAGTGCAACCCAGTGTTTCACTTAAGATGATCAAGGAATCGGCTGCACTGATGACAGAAGCTGTTTGTACTATTAGATAAGACTATTTTCCAAACACGACTATTAGGAAAATGTAGTGGACCAGGTCTTAAGAGTCTTGTTTAAAGAGATTTGATGCTGTTGTTGTTTTCAGCAGATGAGAAGACAGAGCGCCATTAAGAAGCATCCTTGAGGAGATTCAAGAAGACAATTAGAAAGGGGAGCAGCTTCACCCCTGCCTCCTCATCAGGAAAAGCGGCAGAGCCAGGCACCTCTCCCCACAGGAAGCAGCAGTTCTAGAAAGTGAGATAAAGCCCAGCACAGTCATGTCTAGGTGGGTTGTGCTGGCTGTGATCAATCAATCCCAGGGCATCCTGTCTAAAATCTTTTCGGGGCCATGACACCCCAAGTAAACACTGCTGGCAAGTCTCAGTCTGCCAGCTGGCATGGGGTAGCTGGTGTCTGACAGAACAGCAAAGGCACCCTCAGCAACGCTCAGCTGAGTGCCAGATACCCTCTGTTCATCCTGCACAGAAGCAACTCGCTGGCATGGGGTAGCTGGTGTCTGACAGAACAGCAAAGGCACCCTCAGCAGCGCTCAGCTGAGTGCCAGATACCCTCTGTTCATCCTGCACAGAAGCAACTCCTCTAGGATATGAGACCCCATGCTAGAGAAAGGTTCTTTGATGGGAGATTTGCAGAAAACACGAAGAGAAGATGAGGGGTGGCTGTAACTGTGCTCCAGGCCGCCCCTCACTGGTTTCAGCCACTGACAGTCTGTGTGGACTGGCTCTGAAGAAGGCACCCATTTCAACCTTGCTGTTGAGATTCCACGATTCATTCTGCCATGATGGCACTAGGTATGGGGCGACTAAGCTGCAGCCCTTCTCCTGGGATGACTAAGCTGCAGCACTTGTGCTGGAAGTACAACTTCCACTCCATACAGATGCACAGCTTCAATTCCTGTGCGCTATATATCGCAATCGGTACTGAGGACACTGTCAGGGCAGGGTCTCCACCTGCAGTGCCCCTCACCCTGTCCTGAGTGCTTAGCACAATCTCTCATACATATGAAGTAGAATAGCCATCTTCATTGTCCGGTTGACCGCTTTTCGAATCATGTAGGAGACACACCCGGGAGTGTCCATGAGGACATTTCCTGTAGCTGAGGAGGGAAGGCTCGTCCTGAATGTGGACAGCACCACCACGGACCAGAGTCCCAGACAGAATAAAAGGAACAAAGGAGAGAGCCAGCCGAGCCCCAGCACCCATCTCTCTGCTTCCGGACTGCAGATGCAGGGTGACGGCCTCACGTGCCCGCTCCCCGATGTCCCTGCCTCGGTGGATTATACCGTCAAAACACTGAGCCAGAATAAACCTCCCTTTCTTAAGTTGCTTGTGCCAGGAATTCTGTCACAGTATTGAGAAAAGTAAGTAAAGCACCAGGTTCTCCATAGGGAACTTGGGTCGATGAGATTCCACTGACCTCAAGGCAACACACAATCTGACGAGGAGACTCCGGAGAAAAATGTAATAATTTCTGCACTTCTTAAAGACTCTGATGAATGAAAAGGAAGTGCCAGGAGCTGCAAGAATGGGTGAGGCAAGACGTCAGGGAGACCAGGACCTGAACAGCTCCCGGGAAGGGGAGTGAGCTCCACCCTGCAGGAGCTCAGCTAAATCCTGGGGGCAGATCAGCATGAGTGCTTCAAATCTCAAATCTCACTCAAATCTGCTGACACCTTCTGGGCTCAGAAGCTACATCTGCACCTCATGGTGTGACCTCACAGAAGCATTCACAAGAGATGCATAGGAGTCACCCACGTTTGGTGTCCTGGTGATCCCGCTGGGTACACTACTTCCAAAGTTCCAAAATTTCCAAAATCCCCTTCTTAAAGGAGTGGAGACAACTTATTGTACAGGTTAGCAGTAAGGAGAGCACTAGCATCCTGCCTGGCATCTGGCAGGTGATCAAAAGGGTAAAACGGCAGTGGAACCCAGAACTAGTCCCAACAGCAATCCACTCAGCACCACCTGGCTGAGCACGTGCTGACATGGGTGCTTCAGGTCACATGGCTACCGGACCAGCCCTCCAACCAGAGTTCCCCTCAACATAGCAGCATCTGTAATCCCCTCTAAAAACCAGATGTAGATGAGGTTTGGACCATGTACCACAGGCTATTCTCTACCATTAACAGCACTCAGAAGTTACCTGGATCACGGTTTTCAGGGTCAGTAAAAGCTCTGCAATACAGACAGAAAAGGGCAAGGATAGGGGAAAGTGCTATGGGGCTGAGAGGAAGACTAGATGGGGGTCACGCGAGCCCAGCTCCCTGGGACCACTTACTGCCTTGCTAGGTAGAGAACCCTGTCAACCAAGGGAAGATGTGAGGACATTAGAGACAGGCCAGTTCTTACAGAGAAAGAGAGAACTGGATAAAAAGATCGGCAGGCCAGGTGCTGGCCTGTTGAACAGGAAGTACACAAGCAGGAACTTAATAGGTTTGAGTCCTTTGTGGGAACTCCGGCCATAGGAGAATAAACAAACACAGAAAAGCAGTACAGCACCTCCTACGATGTGGCACGGCCATAGGGGATGGGTGTGAGGAGGAGGATGGCCAGCAGCAGCCCAAATGCACTCCGCCTCTGCAGTTCACGTGCCTGACACTGTTGGATGCTGTAGGCCCTGTTACCACACCCACTTCAGGATGAGGACTTAGAAGCAAAGCGAAGAGAACTGTGGCCACAGGGGCACAAGAAGGGGGCAGACAGGCCGGGCTGGCCACTGGGTAGGGCACCTGTGTGCTGGGCTCCTCACTAGTCTCTCCTGTGACACAGGGCCACACACTGTGCGGTGCAGTGAGGACACCAGTCTCGTAGGTATACACAGGAGGTGTCTAAAAAGCAACTCTTCCCAGTCACATGGCAGTAAAAGCAATAAATAAGGTTTAAGAGAAGCTCCCTAAAAGAAGACAAGTGCCAGCTAACTCATCAGCTCTCTAGTTAGGCCCAGGGTCAAATCGTGTCAGCCCTTCCCCAGAATGAGTGCATTCCAGGGATGAAAATCCATCTAGGCTTTGCTGGTCATTGCCCACTGGGAGCTGTCTGTCCTGGGCCATCTTCGCGATGGAAGTCACCCTGTCCCTGCAGGAATAGGGGTGATCCTTGTGACCTCCCTAGGCAGCTTGAGGAATGCAGTTCTAAGGATACCAGGAACTAAACACCTGGCCAACTCCCATGACTTGATCCCAGTGCTTCTGCCGCCAGGCCTCTGTCCCAGGTTCCTGTTGCAAAGCCCACTGCCCTTTTCCACAAAGTAGGTGAGATGAGGGAGGAGACATGGTTCAGAGCTGGTCAGCACTGGCTGGGGAACCCTCAGGGACACCTTAGACTAAGCAGAAAGGCCTTCAGGTAGGTGCTGTGCAGAGGCGTTCACACATCTAGTACAAAATCTCCAATTTCCTTTACAAGATGCTGGCCCAGCCTTCTGTGCTACACAGGGTATTTCAGTAACTATGGATGGATTTCAAACTAGGCTCGATTTTTTAATAGAGCTCCAATATTTAGCAAATATTATTAAAATGCATAATTAAAGTATCAGTCAACTCACTCTTTGGTCTTTCCATCTGCTCACGCTCAGGTTTTCAATTGCAAAGTCTGCCACTCATTCCACAGCAGATGCCAGTAACAGACAAGAGGCAGAGACAGGGCGAGGGTGGCCTGATGCTGTTCCCTTTAACCAAACCCACCTACAGGGACAATCCAATTGCTCATGTGTTTCCAACCAGTGGATCGGCAGCTTCATGTGTAGTACACGGCGGAGATTCAACAAATATTTGTTGTGTGAATTATTAAGAACATAAAAGAACCAGGAAAGCCAACTTCCTAAAGAGAAATGCAACATTTCCTGTGCTCTCTGATACTCATTTTCACAGCACGCCAGAATCCTGCTGGCCGACACGATCCCTAGGGGGTCAATATCCCTGTAGAAGGATCCCACAGGACAGCCCACAGTGTTTAAGTGCCAGGTCCCCCACATCCATGAACTTGAGTCGGTCTCAGCTTGTCAACGCAAAACAGGATGGTTAGCCCAACCTGAAAGCTGGGCTGGGGAGATACAGGGGACGCGGATGCACATAGCACCCAGGAAGTGGTCACCACGGCATGAACTGTGTGTGCAGCCAAGGAAGGAAAGGGCTATTTCTGAGGAGTACATAGGTGTGGCACCTGCTTTCATCTGATCCCACAGTGAACAAGGAACTTGTGAGAATGAATCGCTAATCTTCTACAGAGCCCCTTCTCCACAGGGTACTATCACGCTGAGGCATACATCCAGGCCTGCCTTGCCCCGCCTAAGGCTCTCACGTGAGGCTAAATCACTGAGACCAGAGAGGGTGCTTCTGCGCCATACTGCAGAAATGGCACCTCCAGCTTCATTCTCAAGTCACTCCTCAGCTCCGGCATCACAGCAACATTTCACAAGGCTCAAGTCCTGAATTGGTTCTCCAGTAGACAACACGTGACATCTCTCCCAGGAGAGCTGGGCTCCAGGATACATCTTTGCTGGCAAACCCTCCTGGGCCACCCCTAGTTGAACCATGACCCTGGAGGAGAGTCGGCTCATCTCCTGAGGATGTGGTGGTCAGAGTATGCAGAAGAACACAGAGCACAGCAGGCCTAGCACACGGTGAACATGACATTGCATTGCTACCTCTCTGGCCACCCTGTTCCTTCATTCCCGCCATCCCCAACTTCTACTTCTCTGCCAAATATGAACCTCTGCAACTCTACAAGGCTGCTTTGTTTACTCTACGAGTTTCCACATTCTCTACTAGACTCTGCTCCATAGAACCTTCTAGCAATATGCAAGGTGCTTATATTGTCCAAAACTCTCTGTGTTGCTCATTCACCAAGTCAGGTTCACTTCAGCTTAAACAAAGGAATATGCCTCAGATCCCAGAGCCCGAGCCACTTGTAAGTGGAGGATGCTTCCAGAACCCAGGGAGGCCCTCTGGAATGTTCTAGTCCCAATGACACAGTCTGGCCATACCCATAACCACAGAGCCCACACATGAAGGTGGTATAGGTAGATACATTAGAGGTGCCGCTTCCTGGGGTACACGGACAGGGCCATTCTCTCGCAGCTCTTCAGTGCATTTCCCACCCTTTGGAAGTAAAAAGAATAATAAATAATAAACTTCTGTCTACTACTGACAGTCCACTCAGTGTCGCACATCTGACCCATTGAGTGGGTGCTCTGCAGAAACTGCTAAGCAAACTAACAAGCAAGTGTGCCCAGGTCCTTCTGACCATCCACTCATTCAGCTGAACCTTAACCACAAACCAGGCAGGGGTCAGAGTCCAGGGGTGAGCTCTGAAACTTTATAAAACTTTCCTCTTTCCCAGCACAGTCCACAGAAAAGTCTCTCAGTCCTTCTATAGAGAGTCTTCACGCCTCACTAAACTGTACAATCCAATTTTGATTCCCACACAACCGCATCCACATCTCCCACTGTCAGTCGGAGGACTGCTCAAGCCTAGCATTGATAGGTGGCCATTAGGACCTGTCATTGGCATGAATACCAACCCTCACAAGAAATATGGGATCCAAAGTCAGGAACACCACTGATCCCAAGAAGGCCTTTCCCCACTTAGAATCAATACCTCATTAAGTGGGGCTCCTGAAGTGTGACGAGGCTGAGAGAACACCAGCCCTCTGGACTGTGTCCGGCCATGGCATTTTGGAGCTGTCTGTGGTTGCAACTCAGTACTAAGGCCCTCTCGGCTCCCTGTAGGTAGTAAGAAGCCCTGGGTGGGATAGGGGTATGCCCTGGACCCAGGGAGAAGACACTGAGAAGGATATGATTCTCCAGCGAATGTCCAGTTTGCTGCTGATCTCCAGGCCACACGCCTCCTGCCTCTCCTCTTCCAGCTGCTTGGGACTTGCAAACTGGCCCTTCTCTCCAGGGGGTTCTGGGACACTCTCAAAGTCGAACTTGTCCACTTGAATAGCCAATCTGAGAGAATAAGGAGAATATCAGAGAACAGACCAGCAGGGCAATTTCTTCTGCAAGCCGTTGGGGGCTCAGCACCCACGGGCGTGAAGCGATCTAGTGAATCGTTATCGTTAGCAATTCCTGACAGATTCATTCCTGGAAAATGAAATAACAGACTCCCAAGGTAGCCGTGATGGCAGAGCTGGTTCAACATACACTTCAAAAAGAGCCAGTCACAGATTTGGGCCTCTGAGAAGACCTGTGTCTCCTAGATGAGGATTTCCATTCTGTAATAGGGTGTGGGGGATAGGACACCACGTGCTGCTCGACCGTGCTCTGGGTCAGGACTTAAATTCCTTCTTGGATGGCCACGGACACACTTACCTTGACTGCACTTTGGGGACCTTTCCCTGTATGCCAAGCTCCGCCTGCCATCATCCCATGGTGCATGTCCTCTTGCAGACAAATGGGCTTACCAGGCTCCCCTCACCACAGCCGCCATAGCCCCTATCTCCCCACTGTAGCCTCTGGCCACAGAGCTCGGGGGCCCTCCCTTGAGCTCTCTGATCAAACCCACCTCTCCTCTAACACAGCCCTCTCACCGTTTGCTGGGCCCTTTGCCTATCAAACCATTCCTAGAATACAGGCAACTCTCTCTGCCTTAGTTTTTATCCCTAGAATGTTCTAAGCCATGGTATGGCTGGGCCCTTTCCATCTCCGAGGCTGGAGCTTGGAGGTGCCTTCCTAGCTCATCCCAGTCACTGCAGTGTCCCCTCAGGCCCCTAGCTGTACTCGCTCCTGATGCCTTCCATTTATTTCTGGCAGGGCATTTATCATGAACTTAAAGATTTATCTCTGGGTTAGTTCTTTCTCAGTTCTACTGGAGTTTAGCTCCCTGGGGGCAGAGATGCACTTGGTATTGCCGACCAGGTTCCCTGGGCATAGAATAGTGTCCAGGACATGCAGTGACTCTGCAAATAATCAGCTGGATGATGATGATGGAGGAAACTGAATACATTCCCCACATCACAATCAGTGCATCTCTTCCTGCTTATGTCCACACTCTGGCTGCTGCTCTGACCTGCAGCCTGTCCTCACCATGGAGCAGGGGTTGGCTAGCTGATGTTGGAAACCTCATCTCTTGGCATAGTCAGGCACTCAGTCAAGGTATGTCACGTGGATGGAAGAAGGGGGACAGAAAGGAAGTTGGTTTCCATCCATGAGGAATCCTAAACTCTGGCTCCAACCCAAGCATGACTTGAAGTGAGTTGGCTGATGGGTAAAAGTGAGTGTCTATGTTATTGCTAGACCGTGTGTGGACGGATTCCTCAGCAAAACCATGAGAATCTTTGTGGCTGTCCAGGATCATGCACAAAGATGTGGTATCAAGGGCCATGCTGGCTCTAGAAAGGGCCACTGCAGTCGCAAAGCTCACAGCATTTGCCCCAGAGCTTGATGGGGAAGACTGGTCAGAGGCACCACTGGGTAGGCAGAGCGTGAGGCAGCAAGAGAGCGTCTTAAAGTGTAACGTTCTCCTTTATTTCCCATTTATATAAGTAGGCAGTTTATAAGAGAGAGAGAAAACAGAAGAAAGCACAAACAAGAAAGATATTCAGAATATAACACCCTAATGTTAAAGTTTTAATTCCATCATCTCTTCCTAAGGTATTTGTGTTTTAATGTGACTGAAATCATTCTACATGTCTCTAAAGCCAGAAGGACCAGCAGAATCTTAGTGAGAACGGCAACTACCATGATTTGAATCCTGTCACTTTTGAGGGAGGCAGAGATCCCTGCTGACAGCAGGCATTTGGGGGAACATACATGAAAAGCTGGCCACAAAAGGAGAGCCACTGGGCAGTGTGGGCGCTAGGTGCTGAGAGAAGGCAAACATGAGCGTAAATGAAGAGGAGGACAGGGAGCCATCTCCTATAACTACCTTCCATAAGGGAAGGAGTTGATGTGCAAAGGGCAGCACCTTGTTCATCCTCACGGGCCCTGAGCAGTGGTGGGGCAGAGGAGGGAGCTCGGCTCAGGACCAACTTGAGCTGGTGTGATGGTTTGAATGAGAATATCCCCCACAGGCTCCAAGTATTTGAACAGTTTGTCCCCAGTGGTGGCGCTGTTTTGGGAGGTCTTTGAAGGTGTGGACATGCTGGAGGAAGCACGTGACTAGCGGCGGCCTTAGAGAGTTCTTAAGCCTTGCCAGATCTCTAGTCGCTCTCTGCTTCCTGTGCCTGCTGGAAGATGTGAGAGCTTAGCTTCCACTCCTCCTCCAGTCGCCTCTCCCGGCATGCCTCCCCACCATGATGGACTCTTGTCCCTTTGGAACCATAAGCTCAAATAAACTCTTCCTTCTATAATTTGCCTTGGTCAGTGTTTCTATCACAGCAACAGAAAAGTGACTAACACATCTGGGTTCTTAGTTCAGCCTCAACTTGTACGTGACCTTGAGTAGGCCCTTCATGCCCCTGAGGCTGTCTCGGAGATGTGGCCGTGATATCTGCCAACAGAAAGACGGCTAGAACCTTGTTTAGGGCAGCACCAGGAGCGAGCCAGTGGCTTGATGCTGAGTCACCAGACCAGCCAACTGGATGAAGGTCTGGCTACTGTCTCAGGGACTGAGCAACAAATCTCTGATCCCTTATTCCAACCACACCTCTTACCAGATGCCACTCGGAGCCAATGCAGGCATCTACCTGCTGTCTTCTGCTGGTGAAACGTGCACATGCCCCTCCTCATGTACATGTGGGAGCTTTCATCAGAGAGGCCAGTACGTATCAGAGGTGCTTACATACCCCCTTCTCCTCACCACAAAGTGTTCCAGACAGTAATTCCAAAACACAGCGGTGCCTTTCTGGAACATCACAACCAAGCACGGATCTCATGCATGTCTGAACTCGTGAGTGAGCCTGCACTTGACCCATGGCAAGTGGCCTATTTTGACCATAGGTTTTGTAGGGTGTGACCACCTTTCAGGTGGCTTTCGGGGCGGGGGGGGGTTGTGCTGGGCCTTTGTCCAGTTAGAACCCTTCCTAACAGTTCTCTGCTTTCTGTGGGTTCACCCTTTGTTCCTTTCTAATGAAGGGAGGCCTAATGGGGATTAGGGAGGACTACCTTCTCGGGAGCTAACCTGGGACAAGAACCTAGGCTTTGGCTCCCTATTCAGTATTGTCTCAGGAATGGGAGGACTTTTGTAAGGACACCAGCATGGAGACATCTTCCCAGGGAAGAGTCAGAAGGGACAGGAGGCTAGACCTGTCATGATCATTTGCTGACCCAGGAGTAACATCAGGGACTCAGCTGGCAACACGGTGAGGCACGGGCACACCATCAGCTTGCCTCTACCACCTGCTCTTACTTTCCTGACATGACTTCTTACTGTAAATGGGAAGAGGGCACTCACATGCACAAATGCACTTGGCACTTGAAGATGCTCCCTACCAGGTGATGGAAGGGGCTAGACTTGAATCCCAGATGGAAGAGATAGACCAGGACTACACATGTTCCCTAACACAGGGCTTCTGTGGCTCTTAAGATGACAGATCAAATTTAAGCCCCTGCAGGAGGCTTGTCAGACCACTTAAGCCCTCAGGGTGTCCCCCTGGGGTAGTTCCATCTCCCTGTACTCTGAGGGCACCTCACAGAGTGGGAAAGCCAGGGGCAGGGTTTTCTTCCACTAAGCTTGGGCTTTCAAGATTCTGTGCAACTTACATACGATGGTGGATCCATGATCAGTGCCTGGAGCACAGACAGTGCTCTGCACACAGAACTGTCACACGACTGTGCTCTGTGTCACGGGGGGACAGACTAAGGTGCTAAGAAGCTAAGGAAAACCTAAGGTCAACAGAAACAGGATAATAAAACAAGGCCGTGGAACAGCTTAATTCCAGAGTCCAATTCAGTTCGGAACTGAAACCTGTTATTCCTACCACAGCCCTCCTGCTCCCTCCTGCCCCACCATGGTTCATTCAGGTTATCACTGGAGAGTCATTATGGAAGAAAATTAATGCTATCATTGAATGTCAATTTTTAGGTTTAATTTTATGGCCACGTCTGAAAATACTTGTCCAGAATTGGTGCTAGACTGTGATGCTGAACGACTCCGAAAAGAGCAGGCTGCTAGCCACATCACTGCTAGAGGCTGGTGACCTCACCAGGGAATCAATAATGACGACATTTAAACACATAGGAAAGCCAGGCTGGGAAGAGCACCCCATCACACTGAGCATGGACACGTGTTGTACTGATACAGAGCCCATGTCCAGCTGCATGGTAGAGGGCTGAGGCAGACTTGCAAGAGTAAGAAGAGACCTCCATGTTCCCAGAGTGCTGGCGAGAGAGCCAGTCACCTGGATGGTTTGACTGGGTGGCACTTAGAGAGCCAAGCTCAGGGGCCGTCCTGCATTCTCTACACAGAGCTGAAGGTCCAATCGGACATGGCCTTCCCTGCCCTCCAGCCTGCAGCTGTTCTGAACCAACCCTTCGTGGTCCATATGGTCGCTGCTCAGTGCTCGACCCATTCAGAGTATGTGCTTGTGAAAGTCACCAGCTGGGGGCCTACAATAATCCCTTAGACACAAATAATCATTTGCCTCTCCTGTATTAGAGGGAAAACAGAAGCCATGCAGCCCACAGCCAGAGCTTGGTGTTGCTCCTCCAAAGCCCCAGGGAAGTGTGAGGACCTTCCTGCGCCCCCCTCCCCCTGCCAGGACTGCTGGGGAAGTACAAGGCCCTGCCTTGAACTTCTATGGAGAGTTTATTTTAGGAGCTCTGAGTGCTTTCTTTCCTTAGCTACGTAAAATGAGATTCACCCTCAAGATTAAAAAGTGCCACTACTGGGCTGGAGAGATAGCTCAGCAGTTAAGAACACTGGCTGTTCTTGCAGAAGACCTGGGTTCGAATCCCAGCACCCACATGGCAGCTGACAACTGTCTGTAACTCCAGTTCCAGGGGATCCGACAGCCTCTTCTGACCTCCACGGCCATTGCACGACACGGGTGCACTTATCTACATGCAGG